ATTAAAATGATGTCAGAGACGTCAGACAATAGAAGATCATCAAGATGGTGTAATTTTGACTTAAGAATGACATTGTTTTTATTTAGAATTTTACAACATAAACGACACTCTTCATCAAGCGATTTAAAATACATAAAATTTACTGTCGTTTTATATGAAATTTATAAAACTCGTCATGACATTTTCAGTTTAGGTTTTAAAAATCTCATATGAACTCGAGACTCATCTAAGATCGTTAAACAGTATGAATTTTCAATATTTGTTGTATATTATTTATCCTACAAAAGACACTATCGACAGCGGGTTTGTGGTCGATACGAAACAGTTCTGTTTATACAAATATGAAGAAGCTTCTGACCAAGGCCACAATGGTGTTATCTTACATCCGAACAGCTACAAGGATACCTGATCCATTTACCTTTTCCCTTAATTAATTTGTTTAAGACCGGAGCCCATCAAACCTCGGCCATTTAATGGTACGATTTGTCATTGCGATGTCCAGAAAATGACGGATCCTCCTTACGCACAAATACAGCGGTTGGGCAATTGACGCCAAATAATAGAATGTGACTGCCCGCAGTGCTTCACTCGCGAAGGGGTCTCAAACGGAATTAGTGATTATTGACTGGAGAATAGAGATTGTAAATTAATTTGCTCACATGCACAAAGGCTTGATAGAAGTACAGACACCTGGTACAATGAGAAGAAAAGGCAGACATTTTGCACCGCCAAACATCCCGCTAGTCGTTTTCTATATAACAAACTAACCGTGTAACGCCAGTCTCGATGTTGTAACAATACTAGCCCCCACTAACATAAGGTAGAAGGGGATAAGGGTTTGAATGTTTCCTTTTTCAGTTGTTGGTTCCGTGATAATTTCTAGGTGGTTTAACAGATAAGTCGCCGATGTGTGCTTCAAATCAACCAGCTGAATGTTATATTAAGTGAGACGTTATGAATGAATTTTCCTGCAATTAAATGGTTTCGATGTAAATGATTAAATAATGGAAAACGACGTGATAAATGATTTGATGTTATAAGAAGAATAAAGTTATGCTATTTGATAAAAAAACAAAATCTTTTCTTTTCAGGGAAAATTAAAATCTCATTGCATAAATAATAGTATAGGAAGAATAAAACACGAGAATATATCAAACAATCCACTCTTTCTAAAGAAACTAGTTTTCACAAACCATTAACTGCATTAGAGTAGTAAATTTGAATTGATATTTTATTAATGCATAAACTTTATTGCAAAACGTTCATATTTGTAATAATGATTTTATCACGTATTTGATTGATAACATTTTAAACGGATCATAGGTCTTTCCTTTGTGTTTAAACATTTAAAACTCTGTTAAAGGTCAGTAGATTAAAGCCTTATCCGTCACTAAGTTTAACTAGTACACGCAGGTTATACGCTATTAAGAGTTACGAGTGGGTTAATTAATTACAAACATAAATCCACTCTTCTGTCATGTGTCTTTTAATGACACATATCCCCTTGGTAAGTCGTGATTTATTCGGATATCAACATTTACAATATAGGCGAATAAGTCGATTAAGTCTTTTAATTCAACTGACTTGTAAACATATACCTGACAGTATGGTAAATCGAAACCCATTCTATGAGACTCACTAAACACAAACTTAATTCCGTGTAATCAATCCAGTATTTAATATTAATGAAAACTTGAGTTTGTTAAAAAAAACAAATATGTCAATCAGCAATTACATAATTATGATGACGAAAAACTACATGTTCACTTAACATATGCTTAGATAAGCATTATATTAAGTCGACACTTCGATTACATTGATAACAGTAATCGTTCGTTAGATAATTATTATAACGCATATACTTTAAGTGACATTATATATCTGTTATTTTAGGACAATGGTAATTTTCATAATGCTGTTAAAATGAGGAAACTGTCCATTAAACAGGGCCGCTAGATTCTTTTCTCAACTTGAAATGACATATTTTAATCAAAGGAAAATCCTCTGTCAAAAATCAAAATTGTCTAATGTATGTGGTCAATGTATTTGAAATTGACGAAATAACTCAAAAGATATCTCTTGCAAACACAAAAATGCAAAATATAAGACGTTTAGATTAAAATATAGATTGAAGCTGGTTCCCCTATATGCATGAGGCATGACAATAAAATTAATTTCCTCACTTGTTAAACGATGATGAATATGTATAATTCCGAATTGCATCCATTTCAGGTAAAAACACCGAAAATGAATGTCTAAAGATAGCAATGGATAGCTTCCAAAAGTAGTTCAGAAGGATATTCCAGGTTAACGCAAAGTGAGTTTGGCATTTTCAGATCACGTTTGAGCATATAAACCAATCCCGGCCTCGTCATATAGAGGACAGCACATTTCGGAGTTAGATATATATCAGTGTTGAAAGATATTCCATTTACCAATAAATATTCTCCATTGATAGAAATGTAGATCATACCTACAAAAGTGTATCACCTGTAGAAACCGGCCACTCAGTAATTCGTAAAACAATAAGCTCTACGAAGCTATTGTTGTACTTTTAGTCCAGCAGTAAAACAGGTTTCTTTGTTTGGCTTTCTTTAGTCACATATACTAATGGTATAAATATGTGTTCCGTTCTTCGTATTTCTAGAGAGTAATTTACGATATATAAAGACTGACAATAGCCGCCTCGCAGTATTTCAGCAGATTCTGTATCTTTCTTATGTAGACTTCGTTTATATTATTTATAAAACAGGTTACACTTCAAATAAGGCTATACAAAACAAGGTGTTGACTGTTGTTTTGGCTCTGATACTTACAAATTTGTAACAAATCTTTTAACTGATTAGTGTTACTTATTTGTCATAAATGTTCTATTTGATTTTTGTAATATAAAAATAAACAAAATCCTTTAAATATTGTGTGCAATTTAATTTCGAAAATTAAATCAGTTTGCTTTTCCAAAATTAACATTCACAACTGTTATATTCTATTCCATAAATATATGGTCTAATGAACAGAAAAAATAGGATATTCGTTTAATAGTTTTCTGTAAAAAACAAACCTATTAAGAGAATGTTTTGGAATATGTATGTCATCGCGAATAGCAGAGCTTAACAATTTCGTTCGAGAGTCATTTTAAAGACTTGTTGAAGGAATGACGACATTGATTGATTATGACGTCAGATTCACACAAGGCCAATTGAAAAATAGACAAAGTACATTGGCATTAGTCACATACTTTAAACATATGTGATGGTGAGATAAATATAAATTCTGTTTCATCAATAAATGTCCTCGTTTTCTCACAGCTATCTACTGTGTCCATTAATCGTGTATATTTTGTTTCAGCTGCATTTTATTATCAAAAGATTTAAACATTATGTCGACATTGGTGATCCATTTAATTGAATTAATCTTAATTGCAAGCATTATAGAACCACGGGTTGTTTGGGTGTAGTGTTTTGTCGTTCATATCATGTTTGTTCATGCGGCGTTTTTATTTTCATGCTTGCTGTGTATAACCAATATGATAACGGACCCGCCTTCTATGCACAATTTATATACTCTCGTGGCAGGCTATCGACGCTTCGTAAATGAATCCATTATTCTCCAATTTGTAGCTATACTGAGTGTATGTGTACTTGCACTAGATGGCATAAGTACCTCAATAGGGCCGAGCATTAGCAATCACCAACGGCTCGTACATTGTCTCTCCCGAATCTGATATTGATGCATGTATAATGGGGTGTTCATCCTTTACTATTTTTAAGATAGCTTTTTTTACATAGATATGTTAATACCAATACGAAACATTATATATAATGCATTGGAAATGCATGAACTGGAGGTCAAGCTATGAATAAGTACGACAAGCTGATATCTTAACATGAGAAAGTATTGTGGAAAAATCAAATGATTTTTGAAGCAAAGTTTGCATTCATATTTCACCTTAGGAAATAAAAGTTAAAATGTGTATAGTATGAAATGTTGTGGGTTTTAACTATAAAATAGCGAGAGAAAAAATGAAAGAGGATATAAAAAATAAGACAAAATTTAAATATAAAAGGTTTTTTTTCTTTTGTTTTTCTCTTCATTTCATTAGACTTGTCTATTTAAAGGTTCAAGTAAACAATAACTAAAAATGAGAAAGATTGAAGTACATGTCTAAACTTTTTGTAAGCCGATGCAGAAAGCCAATGTGAACAAGTTTACTGCGCTATGTGGTCATTTCATCCATTTAGGACTCATTAGCAGTACTATAGGTCGAACGAATGGAAATCCATGATCAAGGTGTTCTTAAATTTATAAAGACTTATTGCAACTTTTTGCTCGGACAGATAATTATTCTTAAATAGTTGATGAGATTAAAGTTATTTTTAATATCAAAAAGCTAATGTTTGATAGATGGTCGTTTGGCACAATCATGTGACAAAAGTATTTTGTACACACAGAGTTTACGATTGATGACTCTAACAAATGCGTTTTATGGGGTCAACATATTTTACAAACAGTTAAATATATCGATAAAAAAAGTATTTGACTGTGCAAATAAACAATACATAGGACCAACATGAAATGACAAATATGGAATTTCATTTCTTGATTTTTTCAAACCGATTATGTACCGAACAATTTATATATATAACTATTACAGTCCATAATTATAGAATGCAGAAAGGATGATAAGATGCTTTAGTATCATCATTGTTTGTGAATTTTCCAGACGCTTTGATATGTGTAAGAGAAATTAAAAAAAAATACAATAAAGACATAGTCCGTGCATTGTGTATGTTCAAAACGTTACCTGCCATACGAACGTTGACAATTATTTTATCTAGCGAGAATTTGCTTCGATTTTGATTTCAGATTTTTTTAGATTTAATTTTAAACAGATTTTAATCAAATCTAGCCTGTCACCAATATTTTACAGGAGCTAGAATTTACACGCTAAAATAGGAAATTGAAACATATTAATACAAAATAAAAAACCAAATTATCTGTTTAATTTGTTTTCTTTTTATTCTCAATTAAAATTAACGAGGACGTAACAGTTCGATTTCTCCATGCATACACCTAAATAACTGTAAACCACATAGTGCAAAAATCACATGACAAACATATATATAGGTAACACAGAGTCAGCACTTTTCAATGAAAATGCTTACATGATATTTATGACATTGTGACAATTACTTCCTCCACGAAATAAAATTTAATACAGATTTAATATTTCGCCAGCAGAACAAAGACAACTGATGAATCAATATATCGCATCTAATTATATATTTACCTATATCGAGATAGTTTGTCTCACTCATATATCATGTCAACTTCTTTCTTTTTGTCACATTGTCTTTGTCACATTGTCTGTGTCACATTGTCTTTACCATTGTTCGACAAATATGATTGAATGGTATATATACAACAACACAAGTATAAATAAGACATTTACAAAATATTTTTGTAAACAAATGAAATGTTGAAAACCGTAACCTGTTTTTAACAATTCCAACTAGTCCTGATGTCCGGATAAATAAAAGTATATACACATACGTCGGAGTAGCGGACAAACAGCAGACAGTAAGCACGGATACATGGCAAGAACTCTCCTTCCGCTTCCGGTATTGAATATTCATGACGTCATACATGTGCCTTTGTTATGTAAAGTAAAACTGAAACATTGATGACGCGATTTGTTTATGATGGAGATGGCATTTGAGGATGTCCATGAGAAGATAAGGGTGAACTATTGCTACTTCTAGAATCGTCTAAATCCAAATCATCATCGTCATCATCATCAATGTCTATTTTGTCATCTTCATCGAATGAAGCGAGCGAGCCTGGCGTCGGCGATGACGAATCTAGCCGACTCAGTTTATCACCAGACATCTGACGCTGTTGGAGTCTGGAATATATAAAAGAATATTTGTTATTAAAATGTGATAAAATGTGCAAAATAGATTTCATATTTTAAAAACAAAAATATATAGATATTAATGTTAACCCCTGTTTAAAAACATTAATTATGTGTGCCCATGAACAATCGTCCCAATACATTTTTTTTTAAATTTTTATTTATAAATATATCATATATGATATAACACCTAAATCTGCATACATGACAAAGGTTTTATTTCGATATATTTCAGAGATAATGATTGATTTTCTTTTGGATCAATATGTTATTATTTAAGTAGTGACAGAAAAATAAATCTAAGTTGTAGTTGGTATAGCATTTACCTTTCAACATGATCTATTTTTTGACATTTTACATTGGTATTTCCAAACCGACATTTAAATCAGGCGAGACAAATAATTGAATTTAACATGTTAGTTATGCTGATCAACAGCTTAATATATCGCATTGTGAATATATCGACAAATAAGCGATTTATTAAATTTAAATTATATGCTTGTTTGCATAATTCCCATTCGCCTATCTGCGTTACCCACTTATGCTTATATTGAGGCTTTGTTGAATCAGAAACGTATTGATTTCAACGCTAGAATAAGAACCCATTCATTCGGAGTTAACGTGATTACTATGCATAGCATTTTTATACAAAATGTACTTGATAGGTGTTTTCTTACACTCTATGACACTTGAGTTAAGCGGAAATCAACACCGTATATAGTTTGGTTGTTTAAACTGAATAACACAATGTTACTTAAACATTTACTCTGAATGAACCTTGCCCTGAGGCAGATTGATGTCAAAATCGTTGGGTCGAGAGTGACAACTCTATATCTTTATTTTTTTATCTCAGGATTTTCCTTTTTATTAATTAGTTGGATTAGTTTACTATCTCTCCTCCGAGAGAAGCCTTGCTATGTGTCACACAGAGGGAGGCCAATTCATGGCGTTAGGAGGGAAAATCAAAACTGCGTCCCGCTGTATTGCTCTTGGCAGACATTTGCAATTTGTGACAACCGGAAGTTCTGACGACTCCGCCGCACAGTCAAACAGTTATTCTGACACATTGACAAACAAATACAAATTTCCTGCTCAATCGACTCCTCCGGAGAGCTTTCTTTCATACAATAGGTCGCCGGGACCTGGCATGGCCTGGTATCAGTATTTCTAATAGATAACCCACAGAATCTGGCATGTTTGTTTATATGTTGCTAACGATTGTACTCAATTACTTGTTGATTTTATTTTCTATGTATACGGTACTTTGCATGTAATTGAAAGCATTAATTGTTTAGAAGTAGCATGTCATTGTGAAAGCATACGATTAAATGTGTTATTAACAAAAATTGTTAAATTTGCATTGAACTGTATATACAGGTAGAAAAATGAGCAGGTGTAACATTTTGTTCCTCTTGATATTATTATAATTATATTGATCATAAATATTGTAGGTTTCTTGGCTTTGTTTTACAAGTATGTTGTTTTCTTTATATGAATATATACATCACTATCTTTATATTACTGTTTTAAATGTTGCACTTCGCATCCGCTAAAACATACGATTACTAAAAAATGTTGATCAAGATTTATGTTAAATAGATATCTATTTCGAGTATTTTCTCATAAATAAACATTACTAATTCAGTAACACCATGCATGTTACGCCTCAGTAATAGTCTAAAACTTTACTTTATTGTATCTAAATTTTGAAACTTAATGGCGTTATTGAAAATCATTAATTCGAAGCGAAAAAACGATGTTCAAAAGGGAAGCAATATATATATGGAACAATACTGTTTAATCATCAGGTTTCAGTTCGTTATTGTTTTGATTTGTTTTTGTATTTGTTATTATTTTTACAAAGAAATAGAACTTTGAAAAACCCAACTAAATTGTGAAATATTTAATTAACGTCTTTTGCGATACCTCTTTTTTTTAATTTTTATTATGATAATCTTATGAATTTTTAAATAACGATTGTATTGGTGATATTTAAGCAATAGTATTTTTATTACATGGCAAAAATGAATATTCCAAGCATTTCATTTTCCCTTTACAATACCTCGAAATATATTATTACATCGGAGGTATGCATAAAAGTTATTCAATCACAAGTTTGAATAATATTTATTCCCGATAAACAGAATTCAAAGTCATATACATGTTTATTCGATATAAACATAGTTTTATGTGAAGTACAACGGTGTTTTTTTAAAGTGAAGGATGCTGTTTTTGTGAAACAAAATAATTTGACAATGTAACAATCGTAGAACAATTTCTCCTTATCGAACAAAATATCAAACAAAATAGCGTTTGTGATGCCATATTGACAGCATGTTGATCCGAGATGACATCAACATAGATCTGATAAGTTGTATATAATCTCCTGACACCCGTAATATGTTCTACGAGAACAGACACAGATAACTGGACACAGATTACTAGACAGCGTACTGTTTGCTTAAGACACGATATCATTTTACAAGTATTGACGCGATCTCAATTGATCCCTATTATACATTTCAATTTCATATCAAGAAGATCTTCAGACAAATACATGGGCAATAGATATGTCTGTCGTATGAATTCATTGACTGGTAGTACATGTGTGTAGAATAAATTGAACCATTATGAAAATTTGTTAAGTCGTCATATTGTGCTTCGTGCCAGATTTATTTACTCGTGTCACTAGAAAATTAGGGTCTAACACAACATCATCTTTACAAAGTCATACCAAATCGACGACAACCGCTCCTTTGCTTTCAACCGTTAAGGATACTTAAGTTTTTAAGGTACAATGTCTGTCGCGGACAAGTCCTGTTGACGATGGCGGTTGAAATGCTACGACTTTGTCGTGCATTGGACTTATGTATTGACACAAGACCACGTCTTTGGTGAGCGACACAAGACAGTCCTGTCCTCACCTTGTTGACTCCCTCCCAATGATGTACTCTAAATCAGAACCTTCTGTTCAATACTCTAAATCAGAGTGTCAATGTCAAAATCTTTCTTTTTATTCTTAAAGAAATTTTAACTAATTTAATACTTTGCACAGATAACAATATCAATGTAAGATGAAAGGACGTGTTTAACAGTTTATTTTCGTTACCGACACTGTAATGTGAAAACACATTTAAATGTTTTATTTTGTTAGTCTAAAATGAATAACATCGATACGATTTGTATTTGTTTAAAAATCAACGAAACAAATCAAATTCAATCTACAATAAAAGATCGTATTTAGTAATTTAACTTCAGGTTTTAATCTTCTGTTTTTCTCTTTTAATCTGATCAGTAATTTCGTATGATATCGTTTATTAAGATAAATTCGTCAATACTTTTTTGAAAGCGGTATGAACAAATTGGAATCAAATGTACCAATCATCGTCAGTAACTTATGAATACAAACTGAGCACAACCGGAGAAACGTTATATCAACACCGTTTATCACTCGAAGAATCAAGAGTATGGTAGATCTGATTAAATGTTGTAATTTAGCACCTGTCAAAATAGACTGTCAGATAGCACTAGTCCGATATCGTCATTAATCTGTTCTGAGGTTTTGTGTTTAGTGCAATACGCGGACGTCAAGCCTTTGACCAAGGCCAGTGTCGTGATATCTGTACATATATTGACACGGATATATTGCATTTTAGTGACTATTAAAATACTTGCTAAAGCCTTTCTAACGATAAAACTTGTAAATAGCAATCGTCTACGTGACAGTTTGGACATTTATAATCTCTATCAATGAACAAAATTTAGTTTTATCAAAAGGTGTTATTGATACTCTTAAAATCACCTAGACCAAATATAATTTATATTGCTCTACAACAGAGTGGGTAGCTAAAAGTGTAGAGGTTAAACAACTTTTGAAAAAGATGACTTATTTTGATGAAATTTAATTGAATTTCAGTGTGATATGTTTAATTCAGTTTCTGTTATAGGTTGGTATTTCATACATGGTAAGATTTGGAATTCTTCATTTTCTATATTTTCGTAATCTGACAGAAACCTAGGACTAATAACTTCTGAGAAAGAAAGTTCCACCATTTTTCTATTGTACGTAGGACTTAACAAGTAAGTTTCCAGTTAAAGGTATGCTATTTCTTTTTTTGTTCCTTCAAAACAATTTAAGGTTGTGGGTCACTTAAAGAAATTTTAAATGAATTTTCATTAACGTTACAAAACAAATTACCAACATAACAAATATCATGACCGATATCACAGTTTGGAAGCTTCTTGTTTCATATTAGTGAGGTCTCGAGATTGAACTCCCGTGGCGAATACGCTTTTGTGACAAAGGAACCTTGTGATAAATATATTTATTTCGCATTTAGTAAATTAGCAAGTAACTTCAGGTCAGAAAATACCGAACAAATTAATTGGGAATTATTCTTCGTTAGAGATAGACAGAATGATTAAACTCTCTACCTCAACAGTGAAGTATAAAATGTTAACTCCACGACTAAAAATTATATTTCCCCGCTAAATTAAAACATTATTTAGTATTATTTTATATATAAAAAATGATGATTTTAATAATGATTAAGTAATTATTAATAATACAACACATAATTTATGTAAATTTGTTCATATTATTATATTACGTGAACTAAATTATATACGATATTAGCTGTACAGAATAAATAATTTGCAATCGTGTCCTGTACATAAGTTCACGACCAGTAAGCGAATGTTTCTATATCTATAAAATGTGAAACATGTTTGGTTATATAAAGCTAATGGATAAGATATCTACGTGTACGAATTTTAAATAGAAAACTTGTTAAAATCAATAATATTACTTCATCGACAGAATACGCTAGTGTCAGTGACTAAACAGCTTACTGTGATCCGATACGCTATCTCGTAAACACCTCAAACTTTATATAAACAAATGAAACAAAACGCTGCGGCCATTATCCGATAAATCCCAGAGCGCTCCTTGGACCCTTAATTCTGTAATCGCGCAGATATGGAGAATAAGCATTCGGGTGACACAAGGTGATGATCTTCTCTACTTTACCTGGTCAACTGACTGATATTTGGGTTACATAAATAAACGTAAGCTTTAACTTTGTGACTTCGTGATGAAGTTTGTTGGTAGAGTTATGTAACACCGAAGCTGTTATTGCTCTGACCAGATCTGGGATATAGCAACTCTACGGTGGAATGTGGTGACAGCGATTAAGTAAACTATACATCGAACAGGTGCTAACAGTAAACAAGAGAATAATGGAAAGGTGAATGGCTTATCTGTCAAATAGGATGAAGGGCCACACATTAAACCACGAAAACAGGTGTATCTAAAATCGGGTATGAATCCTATCTTTGACGGTAAGTCTTTAGGAAAACTCAATTCTTTCACACCGCCCCTCAAATATTGGACGGAGTTTCCAGGCGCTATATTCTCCTACGTGACCTTTATATAGAAGTTATCTTAGATCTACAAGAATTTTACTTCATAACCGTTCATCTAAGGTATTAATATATCTGCCAATCAATCGGACCCCTTCCATGCTATTATACTGGAGACAAATACGAGTATTACCGGAGCTATATTATTATGACTTAGCAGGGTTTGTCGAAGATAATATTTTTCTCTTCTATTGTTTCTTTCAGGTTTCATTTCTATTCAGCTACACAGTGGATTATATTTTTATATTAAGGAGACAGGTCTCGGTAAGCCACATCGCTTAACACTACAATGGAGTAGTCTTGTCAAATAACTAAGTTGGTTAGCCATCACTGTAAATTGTCGAGAAAAAATAAATGAACTTGTCAACGCTCATACTTATCTATAAGAATATAGAACTTGGTTAAATAAAGTAGCATTATTTCTGTGGCAGTGAAACATCTTACTGTGATATTGGGTAACCTGTTTAACTTTTAATTTCAATTACTAAGAGAAATGATTAAATTTAGTGAAAGTGGAATTTAAAAATACAAGTTTAGCCCATTTGTTAAATTATATATTAAATTGATATTCATATTTTCAGTATTAGGTTTGTGATGTCGTTGGCAATGGACATGTAGGAGATATATGGATGTATTTCTTAGTCATAATTCAGGTAATATTTTGCTATATCTATTTCACTTTAAAGGTGATAAATGCATGCAATAAATAGATCTATATTGATTGTGATAGAGAGCCTAGGAGGAATGCGCAGGGACGTTCCTTTTATTATTTCATTTTAGCTGTTCAACACAATACGCCCATGGTAGTTTCTTTAACTAGTGAAGTGTCAGGTCATTTGTTATAAATGTGGTGAGACTATATATACATGTATTGTTACACTAAATACTATTGCAACATCTACTCGGCATCTACCTCGCCTATGTTGATGGCCCACGTAGAGCATTTGTGTCTATAACAGTGGATTCTCACTATGACTTTGTCACCCTCGTTCATTTGAAGAAAATAATTGATCGTCCCAGTAGGTCTAATGAAGCCTACCCAGAGGCATTGAGCTATGAATAAGATTAGGAACGGTTATTTGGTCAAGAGACCACGTACAGTGGACATTACATGGTCAATATTTAAAGTGCTAACTGCTTGACCATGGCTTGTCACAATTAGAGTGGTACCGTTACAACTTACTTACATCCATACATTAAACATTTAAATCCGTTTGCTTCTTGAAAGCAAATACTATTAGACGCCCCTAGTGTTGTAATGTATTCAGTGTGGTATTCCTATCAAATATAAACGAATAACGTACATTGTTGATGTTGATTTCCTTCTCGTTAGGGGACGGTAAGCAAATGAACATTTGTATACAAATTAGTGATTGTTTACATTTATAAGTATTTAGGTTTTGTTTATTGTGCTTTTAACCACAGGAAATACGCTTCCGTGCTAATTGAATCAGTTTCTTTAAAAACTTCACGGTGGATTAAAGGAGTCCTGAGCCTTACGTAAGACATATGTTTACTTATCCTATTATGTTATAAATGTATGCAATTTCAATGCGAAGTAAATGTGTATTTAAAACTGATGATTACGTTAGCCAGTTAATTCAGTTTATTAGTATGTACTATATTGCAATCACATTTACATACCTTTTGGAGTAATCTTACGTTATTATTTCAAAATTAAATATTTGAAAAACAAAGAAAAATAGAGATGACAACAAAATGTTCACTTTTATAAAAAAAAAAAGCGTTAAAGTCAATTAAAGTTAAACTTGATAATTAATGATTTCCGCTAAAAATTCAGATAATTAATGGATTGTTTAATTACGTGAATACAGTTGCCATAACGTTCATTAGCACTCTACGTTTTTATTTACTGTCATCCAAAGGTTGTTAGCTTAGAGTAACAAATATTGCGGTAGGCGAGTTTACAATGTTTGAAAATATTTTCAGAACGTGTTTCGCCTGAGGATGCTATCTGTATCACTCTTAACATCTTATTCAAGTATAATAGAGAGGTGCCGACAAGTATGTCGACAGTAAACTCACAAACTACCTGACAACTTCTGACAAATCACTGGCCTCAAGGCCTATGTTAGCCATTGTGATCGTATGTACCCGACAGATTTAACAACTTTCTATAATAGAGTGTAAAGACATAAATTTATAGGCAACTTGTTTTGAAGTTAAACATTACGAAATATATTATAAATTGTATCGTTCTTATTATAAGGAGTTAAATTTTGATTTAAGGCTTAGATTTGAATATATTACTGACTAATTTTATGTGAAGGATACACAATTGTTTTGCATGCAAATGTTATTAGAATGCAATTATACCCTGGTTATAATGTAAGGATAAAATATTCCAATATTCATATAACTTTTATGATCTAACTAGAGCACTTTTTCTGGTTTAGTCATATTTTTTTCTATTAAATTATTAGAAATATCTTTTTCTGTTTCATAATATTTTGTGATCCAATAAAAAAACATACAAAAATTCAATGAAGTATATATATATTCATATATTATTATTACAGAACTGTTCTGTTTCACTGTGTCTTGATAAAGGAGCGGATCCCTCCAAATATTTGACAACCTATACTGTTGGAATTAATGCTTTGCCCCATATATTCATATATATATATATTTATATTCAATTACCCCATAACTTGGTACAGGTATTTATAATTTGGTTTTAATACAATGCATATTTTTCATTTACAATTTCGTTTTGTTGTTAAAATAATAGAAGATTCATCGCTTCATGAAAAGGACGTTAGAAGAAAAAAAAAAGGCTAAAAACAATTTATGAACTATAACATTATAACAATATTGAACAATCCATTTTTAAAAATAAAATAAAAATGAAGTAGATATATTTCATTTGCTTTTTTTATTACATGATCTTTCTGAATAAAATATATTTTCCCGGCATTCACATTAAATGCTATCAGAACATAAAAATGTATTTGGTAATACAACACTATAAAGTGTCGCACATTTTCCAGATTTCTGCTAATGAGTACTTCAATTTAAGGTGTTACTAGAGATTCCAAGGAAAAAAAAGATTTATACTTAAAATACTAGTAATCAAAGACTAGGAATAATTATGCAAAATCAATCTAAAGCCAACAATGCTCCTCAATATTAATTATTAACTTCGGGAATAATAATTCGCTTTACGAAATTTAAAATTAACCAAATACATGTTATATAAAGTACAACAGAAACGTCTTGATACCCTTTTCATATCTGAATACACATAATTATATATATATATATATTCAACTGCATTTGAAACAACAAGAGATAATATTTACTTTATTGAATACAATTAAATGAATGTTTAACGAACCTGTTTTTGGTTGCAGCTGCTCTGTCCCTTTGTCGCCTATTCTTGAACCAGTTTCCTACTTGTGTTGGTGTCAGCCCTGTAGCTTGAGCCAATTCTCTCTTCTTTGTAGGGTTTGGGTACGGGTCTTGCAGGTACCATTCCCTTAGAAGATTCCTCGTCCGTTCCTTAAAACAATGGGTCTTCTGTTCACCGTCCCAAATTGTCCTCGGCAAAGGGAACTTCTTTCTGACTCTGTATTTGTCTACTGGACCAAGCGGTCTACCCCTCAGCTTCTCTGCCTCTTGGTAGTGGGCCTCCAGCCACATAGCTTGCAGTTTAGCATGAGATTCTTTTGTGAATTTATGATTTTCTAAAATGTGATAAAGGTCCCTAAAGTTTCCAGTATGGAACGATACAAGAGATCGTGCTCTTAGAACAGATTCGTGTTTGTTTAATGCATCACAAGCAGACGGATTTACCGGCAATGACCACAGAAACCGGCCCAGTCTCTCAATGTCCCCACTCTCCTCCAAAGTCTCACAAACCTGTGCAACTTGCTGCGGCGTAAAGTGCAAAGTCGGTAAAGCAAACATCGTGAATAAAACTGTTAAAAATCAACTTTAGAAAATTGTCTTTTAAAAATCTTTAAAAAACATTTTTTTTTGTATATGTAGTCCTTGTACTGTTTAAGCACGACAGGTCTGCTCGTTTGTAGGCTATCCCTACTATAAAGAGCTTGGCGTTGATACCCGTATCTTTGTACACGCGGGCAAATACACTGTCAGGATTCCTTCCAAAGACTCGAGAAGAGGTATAGTCGGTGATGAGTAAACAGCATTAAATGTAAGTGTTTGGGAGGGGCTTGGTCCTATCGAATGTGTCATTTTTTTTATCACATGTGTCTTGTAACAACTATTGTTAGCAAACTTATCGAGCAATCAAAATTCAAAAATGGTTGCAAAATGATTGGGCGATAGCGCTCTCTTCATAGAGTCGTCATAGCGACTATGTCAATCATAGCTCGCGCCTGTCAATCAAAAGGCGGGAACTACAGAACGTAATAGTGATTAAGATGTTCGACTTACGCCCATCTCGCCTTTAATGGGCGTGGCTCTATGTCCGAATGATTCACGCCCGCGAGTATACACAGAGATCACAGGTAAATTGTTCAGGTAAAGTCGTACAGGTAATGATAACTCCCCATGTGGCGAGGTCACGTGATGACAGAGATCATCCCACTTGTTCAAGTAGTAGATTTAGAATTTACCATATCTAAACACACAGAGTCAAGAGAAATCGAATGATTCTGTTCAAATAAAACAGTGCGAGGTAAGAAGGCGGAAATGTAGGATTTATAATTTAAGTATGATCTACCTCATACACCGGCAGAACTTGTTTGCATTGCATACTTAGGAGGTAATTAGTGACGGAAAGAAAAATAAGGCCGATAATTCGATACGGCTGCCAATCTGGTACCGTTTTAAACAGTCTTTTGATGTGGAAACACTTCATATCTTGAGATGTTTCTGAGATTCAGCGTTGAGGTAATGTTACGGCATTTTAAAGAAATGTAAATAAATCTGTTAGCAATACTATGACAGAGAAATAGTCGGATTTGGAAGGGATGAGAAAATATAAATTGACACGGGCAATATTAAACACAGAGTAACTCCATGATGTACAACATCTTATTTCATTCTAGAAAAGTCCGAAATACATTTATTATTGTCATTTCCATAAAACATTTTGTTTATATATCAGCATTGAAGAGAGATAGAAATAAAATGCATTGATAAATAATAATAGTCTCTTTCGCATGCACGCTCATTCTAAATATCATAAATTATTCCTGTATATGTTTTTTCGATTCGGACGAAAAATGTTTCCTTGTATTTTATCAGTAGAACTCTTCACAGTTCAAAGATCAGATTTCAAATAGTTCACATAGTTTTAGTTTTGCGAACAAAAGTAAAACGTCAAAAGTCGCCCGCTTGATTTTAAAGGATATATGGCATGTATTTGTTTCTTGACCACACGTATCGTAGCGTAAACTGACCAGTGATGACGGCTCAATAACGGGACAGGTATCAGTCTATTCATTAGTGCTAATAGTGTTAACGTCTCTTGTGGTCAAACTGTCACCCAGACCGTGGGAAAAGGTGAGTGTTTTATAACAGGTCCTAGTTGTTACTCCGTCGTATCGACAGGGAACTGGCTTATAGCACGGTGGAACGAATCAGCTTAGCTGTCATATATAACGGTATTAAGTATTTTATTTTTCCAAATATATACACACAATATCATAGGGATGGCATAATATGTGTCTGTCGTGTAATATAAACATGAGTATAAAGTAATATAAAAAACCGTAAAGTTTCTTGTAAAAACGTCTAGTTTTTTTTCCATGTATACAACCATGTTCGTAAATAAAAACAACGGTACGTAGGTAATTACATCACATTAAGCGTGATATTATTATATTATTTTCTGATATTTTTTTTATTTTTGAAAGATTTATTGATATTGACATTATTCTAACTTATGTTATTAATGTTTTTCTTTAATAAAGAATAATACATTAAGTTTGGTGAAATACATGAATACTTAAGGCACACATATATTTTGTATAACACAGACAAGACTTTTTCTAGAGTGTCAGAGCCTGCGTACCATCACACACACAATACCGCTACAGATACTATCTGACATGCGTACATGCTCCACATGCTGAAGGAGGACCTGTTACGTATATACAACATGCTGAAGGAGAGAACCGTTACATAGGTGTTATATGTAAGACTGGACGAGATGATATGATTATAATACTTGGTTTCACAATATGACACCCATCAATGTTGTTTGTACGCCTGGTTAAGTGTTCGGCCTGCTGAAGGGGGACGTGGTTACTCTTGATATCCCCCTACCCTCATATCAAGGCCAGGTCTCTCTAGAAAAGCTGTACAGAAGACTAGGAGTGGTTAGATAGTCTGTTTCTCTGATTAAATCAACAGATTGAAACATGATATCTGAGAATTGCAAAAGAAAGGATTCTCCAATATTGCACTGGCTTCCGGTTTCATCTTCTGACTTAGAGTTTATAGCGATGTTCGCCTCATCTGACTTCACATTAAGAGTCGTTTTTGATAAATCTGAATTCAAGTTTAGAACGGCACTCAACTGATAAGAATTCGAATAAAGAGAGGTATCCAACTAACAGAGATCTACATATGTAATTAGGGGTATACAACTCCTCTTAATTCGAGTTTTGGTAAAATTGTTTACGACTCATTATAATTCGAATTCAGAGGGGATATTCGAATCACCTGAGTTCGGAATAAGGGGATTTTACGGTGTTATAGTCTAAATATTGATAATAGGATAATCAATAAGTACAATTTTAAATACTAACAAAATCTGTCATTTAATTGGTAATCTAATCTGTCTTTAAAAAATATGAAACGTTTTTATTGTGATATTTGAAAAAAAAAAGAATTATATATAAAAATTAACACGTATTCTGAATCAAAGTCATTTTATTAATGAAAACAATATGTTTAAATACTATTTTATATGTAGTAACATGATTAATTACTGATTCTGAATCAACTGACATGAAACGTATTTAAGTTGTAAGTGAAACACAACTATGAAGAGATGTAACATGATATATCATGAGCTATTTTTTTCAAATTAGCAATTACGAAGATATTATAAATATTTATTGTTTTAAATAACATTGATGATACCGGTAATTTACTCTGTGTTTTCACTTTGGGTGTGATCCACGCCGAGCACGACAGCTTCAACGTACGCTGGCAGGATAAAATGGAGAGAAAAAATAGTTGACGGTGTTAATTAAATACTGCAAATTATAGCTAATTAAAATGATGAGGGGCGAATTACAGATGTCACTCTCCTCCCTCCCAAGTCTGACAGAAAAACAGGCAACGTGGAATTCGTAATCGCGTGATTGGATAGGAATGGAGAGGTACTGTTACCTAACATTGTGGATAAAGGATTTATCGATTTCCCAATTATATTTCTAACAAATGAAAATGCAGTTGACAGTTTGGGTATCCCTTACCTATTTTTCCTCGCAGGAGACCAATTAGTCCCATATTAAGCTCACTAGCAGCTAGTATGTCACCCATGACACTCCCCTTCCTGTGACGTTTTCCAGTCGGCGCAGACGACAACTGTTTCACGCGCTGTCCACCGCGTGGAGCATCTCTAGGTCAATTATTGTGGCGCGAAAAAATGACAGTTGGCTGATGTTTCTGGCATGAGAACGGACACCGCCATTGCGTGATGTGACCACGGTTGTTATTGATTATCCCGCCAAAAGTGAGAAATATATTTAGCAACTTGTTAGATAATTATTGCCCATAGATATAAATGAAGCTACCAGACGATCGAGTCACCACGGACACTTTCCAGGAAGATCGTGGGAAAGTTCTGACCATAACATGGATTTGTTAGCACCAATTGCACGGTGAAAATTAATAAATCGTTTAAGAGTCTGTTTGGTTGACGGTCAGAGCATTAGCTTGATACACAGACAATGCAAAGCATTGGAATTGGTGATATATTATATTATGACCATTTAGTGGCCAGACAAATCCTTTTTCACGCGCCTTTTTGACATGGTTGGAGTCGGAATCTGGCGGATCTGACCGGTGTAACGGCCGTCTATAGAAACAATGGCAGTAAATAAGGTGGTGTCAGTGTGACCAATCAACAGGAGCTGACCAGACCAGACAGTCACACGATGACTTATACTTATCCTACCGGCATGCGTATAGGGCAAGCAAAGGGTATGGACACAATTATCTCCCCACCGCTACATCTACAGAAATATAAATAAATAAATAAATAAAAGACAAACAATACTACAAAACTAAAAGCCACCATACACTTGTACGTATTAACATAATATTTCAAGTATCCAAATAACACCACAAATGTACATTATGTTCCTAGAAACCTTTAGAAGGACTGTGTATGTAAGTGAACTGTACATATGTACGCGTTGTTTCCCTATCTTCTCCATAAAATGTTTTAGCAATATTGCATGTTTAATCAACTCAAATAAAACAGATATAGCTTCAAGGGTCCCCGCACTACTGACAAAATATTATACATTACGGGACTTAAACAAATATATCAAATAATAGTGTTTTGGTTGTAAACAGCCACTTAGGCTAGACCTGCGAACTCCGACCTTCAGAATAATATACTATCGCTCTAACCGATTGAGCTACCTGGTCATCGGAAATGTTCTACCCAACTGTGCTACAGATATATCCAAACGGAAGTTCAGGGGAGGTAACCGTATTTATGAAAAACTTAGTGCAGTTGGACAGGCTTCCTTAAAACGTTTGGTAGGTGAAGATGGTGAAAATCATTAATTCTTTTTTCTTGTTTGAAAATAAAAGGATGAATGTTGAAAAAACAGACAGCAGAGGTCGATATGACCTCTCTACAATCAAAACATCGTTAGTCTTGGCTCTCGGGGAACAATTCGTTAGTCTTGGCTCTCGGGTAACAATTCGTTAGTCTTGGCTCTCGGGGAACAATTCGTTCACTGTACTTTGTCTATATAGCATATTGTTTTTAAAGTTGACTATTTAAAGTAAATGACTATTCCCTCGATGATTATGTTTGTATGCAGTTCAAACAACATGGCGCTACCAAAGATTGAAAATAAAAAGGATGCTCCATTTACAATGACCAGTGTTCCAAAAATCCAGTCTGTTTGGTTATGATTGACAAGCTATCTTGTTATAACGATATAAGAAAACAATTCAAGATGACACGTATAGGCTTCCGTAGACTTACACTACGTCGGAAACGACCGTGATTCCGAAACCTTTACATGTACTGTAGGTT